GGAATATATATATATATATATATATAATTGTGTACCTTAAATTTTCAAAAATTTAAATATAAATATATATAAATTTAGATAATTCGTGTGTATTGCGCAATAAAATAAATATATTCCCGAGATTATTCTTTTTCGAAGATTTTTGCGTATTCTAATATATTCCTTATACACATACGAGATGTATTTTACGCTTATTCATAATTATTCATCATTATATATGTGCGAATCACACAATTCTAGACATTTATAAGTTTTTAATATATATTCTTAAGTTCTATCACATTTGTAAATTTTACCGAATATATCTTTCATATTTGATTGTATGAAATTGATATTTTGTGAACAATATAAAAACATTAAAAAATTATAATGGCTTTGGATAACAGAGTGCGGATGTCCAGCAGCGTCACAAAGACAGCCGCGATCGATTATCATACCAAAAGTCCATCTAAAAAACGGCAACTCGTTGTTATCGACCACCACTACCACCACCGGTCGTATCTTCAATGGCAAGCCCAGTAGAAAAGGTGCATGGCCTTGGCAAGTGTCTCTTCAATTATTGCACCCGAAATTAGGTTTCATCGGTCATTGGTGCGGTGGCGTATTGATCGACCCGAAGTGGGTAATCACTGCTGCCCATTGCATTCATAAGTGAGTTTGACATTGACTGATATTTTTACAAAATACTAGAGATTTTTATTTAATAATTATTTTATAATTATTTTATAATAAAAAATATCGAATTTCATTAATGCAACTTTAATTTTTCTAAAACTTTTCATAGAACTCTTTAAGTATATTATTTTTCTTAATTTAGTTTTTTTCATTTCATTTGATTTTTCTAACATTTGTTAATTCAATATATTTTGAATTCAAAATCATTAAATAAAATCATTAAATATCAATACCTATTTTATATTTCATATTTAAGTGAATTTATATTTAAACAGATATTTTTAATTCATCTTTTCAAATATTTTTTCAAATATTTATTTTATGCTTCGTATTCTCAAGTGGATATTTACTTCAGCGAATTATTCAATTTACCTATCGGTGCGTTATGGACAGCAGTAGTCGGTGAATGGGAATTAGATTCAGGAGGACGCGGATCCGCCCGCTTGCCAATTGAAAAAGTAATCCTTCACGAAAGGTTTAATAATTACGTACATGACATAGGTGAGTTTTTGAATCTCTGAAATACAAAATTTTATAACATTTAACACAAATTAGCTAATCTAATTTTATTAATCAATTATTTAATCAAAATTTCTGCTAAATTTATTTGTCTTATTAATTTTAAATTAAGATTGGAAAAATATCACAAAATTTATACGTTTCTGAAGGCTGGAAAAATCTTACTTTTATAGCCTTAATGAAACTCGCTAGGCCGGCACCTCTTTCCAAAGTTGTCCGTACCATCTGCCTTCCCAGTCCCGAACAAGACCTTAGTGAAGGACAATGCGTGACTTCCGGATGGGGTCAATATGGTCCCTCGCCTTCACTATCTACCGCCCTTTTGGAAGCCAGTGTCCCTCTTCTAAATCTTGAAGAATGCTTACAAGCCTATGGTAGTTCCGTACCTATCAGGAAAGGCCATCTCTGTGCTGGTCAGATTGATGGTTCCTCTGGAAGTTGTGTGGTAAATGTCATTTTCTTACAAATTAATTTGTAACTTTTTAAAAATCATTTTATATATATATAAAATGAAATATATATAAACATATATATATATATATATATATATAATATATATATTTATATCGTAGAAAATAGATTATTTACTAGTTTGTTGTGTGTGTGTGTGTGTGTGTGTGTGGTGTGTGTGTAATGAAAAAATTAGTTCTTTATTTACAACTACATTGAATAAAATGTTTATGATTAAATGAAAAAATAGGCAATTTAGTTTTGTAAAATTTTTTTTTTTATTATCAACGTGGATGCATTAATATAGACAGGTTATCGAGAATAAAACAAATCGTTTATAGACATGTTTTATTATCTGAAAGTGCCGATTTGTCGTTAATTATGTTGCTCGTACACTTTCTCGTAATAAGATGAATCGATTAGCAAGAAATAAAAAATACACAGAGATTTATGTCAAAGAATTAACATTGATTAGAAATAAAGTATTTTTGAAATTTAAATATACAGTTTTTAATATAAAGCGTATGTTTTTTAATATAAAAACCTATGATATTAAGTATTTAAAATAAAAATTTTTTTAACATATCACAATTGGTTTTACATATTAAACATATATTTTATATGTATTACATATTAAACATATATTTTATATGTATTACATATTAAACATATATTTTATATGTATTTAACACTTACTTTATATTTTTTAAAAGATATGTTTTATGTTTTAAAAGATATGTCAATAATTATAAGTATTAAAAATTTTCTGATAACGAAATATCAAAAAGGTGATATTGTGATCCGTCAAAACTCATAATAAAGGAGCATTACTACAAAAAATATTTGTTGACTATCAACTTACAATTTAATATAGATAGCAAAAAATTTATTTAAAATAATTAATTTTATTGAATGTAAATAATTTTACTAAATCAACGAATTATTTAATGTAATTAAATTAATGTAATAATAAATTGATTATCTTATCATCAAAGCAATTTCGATCGTAAGAATAACACATGTTAAATAATTTGATAGAATATTTTAAATTAACAGAAAATAATTCACTTTAATAGCAATCCTTTTTTCATGAAATTTTTCATTTACTTGATTAGACAATATCAAATAATTAATTATAATATTAAAATCACATTTTCATTCTTAGAAAAACCATGTAAGGGATTTAATTATTGTTATTTTTTCGCGTTAATTGATTTTCTTTTTACACACTTCATGCTATGAGAATAGTTATTAATACAAAAATCATGAAAACTCTATATATTTTTCATATATACAAGGTATATGAAAAATACCGGAACTTTTTAATAAGTTTTTCAGAAGCTAACTTTTTAGAAAATAAGCATTTTTGGAAAAAATATTCCATATAAAAGTTGTAAAATTTTGATGAATGAAAAATTTTTACATAAAGAGACAAATCAATTGGTGTAAAGAAAATATATAGTTACTTTAAAAAACATTATGCAGTTAACAATATGAAAGTACAAATTTCTTTTAAAAGCAACTACGTATTTTCTCTACACTAATCGATTTGTTTCATTATTTGTGCACAAAAATATTAAAATACAATTATGAAAAAATGTATAATTTTCGAGATATTTTATATTTTATAGAATATATGCCAAAAATAAAAATAAAATATAAAATATAAATAAAAAATATAAATAGAATATAAAATATCTCATAAATTATTGATTTTTTTATAATTGTATTAATATTTTTCAATATTCAAAATAATTAAAGCAGTCATATTATATAATAAAAGATATATGATTCCATTAAAAAATATTGCAATCATTAAAAGCTATCGATAGCGTAAATGTCATAATAAAGATGTCAATACCTTTTCGTTTGAAGATATTTATGGAAGA